CTCTCTCTCTCTCTCTCTCTCTCTCTCTCTCCCCCCCCCTCTCTCTCCCTCTCCCTCTCCCTCTCCCTCTCTCTCTCTCTCTGTTTTGTTTTAATAGTTTTAATGTTTATTGTATTTCTGTAGTTTTTGTTCTTTTACTTTTAAAATACAAGGTCATAAAATTAAGTTCACGAACTTGTTGCAACGATGTTGCTAACATTTTTCTGACATCACAGGGATTATTCATTATGAATTTGTACCAACTGGACAAACAGCTAACCAAGTTTACAATTTGGAAGTGCTGAAAAGGCTGCGTGGAAAAGTTAGACGACCTGAACTTTTCGCCAACAATTCATGGCTCTTGTATCAATCACTACAGTGCACCAGCTCACATGGCACCGTCTGTGAGGGAGTTTTTAGCCAGTAAACAAATAACTGTATTGGAACACCCTCCCTACTCACTTGATCTGGCCCCTAATGACTTCTTTCTTTACCCAAAGATAAAACAAATATTGTAAGGGAGACATGTTGATGACATTCAGGACATCAAGGGTAATACAACAACAGCTGGTTGCGTAGCTTCCCAAGGGGCGAACTTTGAAGGTGACCGTAGTGATATTCAGCAATGAGTTATGTAGCACTTTTTCTAGGATGAGTTCACAAACCTAATTGTCCGACTTTGTATTAAGCATGTAAGAGATATTATTTGAGATTTATTACATGGGGTTGTGCAGGTCATTCCTCCCAACTACTCCCCACCCCCACTCTCACATACCATAAGTGATTTTGGTGCATTTCTAAAACAAAAATAAAAAGCGAAAGCAAACGCCTATAAAGTGAGTGGGTTATGTACAAAAGTACTCTTTCTAAACATGCTCTGTCCTGCAGAAAATGTCCTAGAATTATACCCTCCCACTTCTGTTTTTTTACACTGCTTATCTGTAAAGTGACTCACTTTGAAACTCTTCCTGTGAAGTCAAATAGTAGTCAAAAGTATGAGGTTTAATTTATCAACACAGAGGAAGAGAGAGAGAGAGAGAGAGAGAGAGAGAGAGAGGAAGGAGGAAGAACTCAGTCAATTTCCTACACAAATTTCCAACCACACTTGACGGTGGTTAGGTGTGAAGATCAGACAGGACCCGTGGAGGCCCCCAGATCCGTGCTGAAGCCTTCAGCTACTGTCTCAGGTTTTTGGTAAGAAACCCTAGACCCACCTGGTGACTTGTGTCTAGCTTGTTTTGCTCATTACAAGAATGGTTGGAGGGTCATTATCTTCTATTTCCCCTTTTTCCTTTTCCAACTTATACTTCTTTTGTTTTCTCCCCATGTGCACCTTTCTTTTTCTAAACATTCCACATTGGATTATCATTGCTCTTCATATTTTCATTCTAGAACTAATAGGGATTTTTTATGTCATTTAGCCCCTTCCTTAAATTGGCCATTTCTCCGTCTGAGTTTTAATTCCAGTGTTCCCCAATTGTTTTGTTTTTCAAATCACTAATCATTATTTTATATATATAATTTCCTCATTGTATTTCCCTCTTTTTTTATATTCTTTTACTTATTCTTTCTTGCTACTGACTTTGTCATCTATCATTAATATTTGATTCTAGGATCCACTTTTCTTTCCCTAACATAGTTGAATTTTAGTTTCAGGATTTTATTTATCTTTTTAGTTACTGTCAGTCAATTCAGTATTTAAAAGTAAAATAAAAGAAAATTCTCTACTAATCTTAAATGTGGAAAAAAATTTCAATCAAAACCCTAGATAGATATATATGGGACGTGGAGTATAGTGTGGGAGTGGAGTCAAGGGAATTGTAATAGATATGTATGATATTGGGGGGAAGTGGGGCAGCGGATTGGGGGAGGGGGGTTGTCACTTCGAGGGGTAAAAAGTATAACTATTGCACTGTGTTGTACAGCTGAAACTAATTCTAAAAAATGTGTATTTCATAATAAAAAATAATTAAAAGAAAAAAAACAAAAAACAAACAAACAAAAAAAAACCCTAGGAGAAATGTGAAAAGTGATCTTGTTCTGAAACACTTTAAGATTCTGATTTATACATACTTTCATTTCAAGATAGATAATATGTGATATTTAAAATAGCTCATACTGGATAACCCAATTTCTTTACATTGGAATGTTGCTTTTGTCAGTCTTGAATGCTTCAGTTTGTGCAGCTCTTGATGCCTTTCCCCTTGCTAGCAATACCAAAGGCTTTTCAGTTATGTGATTCTTTGTGGTAAAAGAGAATTGGTCTGACACTCAGGGAACCTAAGATCTGAGAACCCTCTTAGTTGCATAGTAAAAGTCACCTAATTTGCTGAGTATCAGTGTCAAAACTGCAAAATAAAAGTAGAGACAATGAGAAGTGATTGCTTTGTTTCCTTTCAGCCCTAGCAGTCTATGACTCTATCCTTTTCTGAATATTTTATGGACCTATGCATGAATATGTGTCTTGGAGTAGAACAGTGGATCAAGCTTGCTGTCATGCAAAACAGGGAAGGAAGGGACCCTGACAGGACTTGAATATTTGAGTATGCAAGGCGACAGGAAAGATAATAAGACTCACTTCTTTTTATTATTATTTTGCTGACTTAGTAATTCTAACTTCTGACCCTATTACAACATTTGGCTAACTCAGCAGAACTATTTCCTAGTCCTTTATAAAAGGAAACATAAAATGCTGTTATAACCTGTAAGAATTGGGAAGTAGGAAAAAACAAAAAGGAAGTTAGAAGAGACACTGGGTTGAATGGATAAAAATAAGAATTTTAAATTTAGTTGAAAAAGAAAAAAAAGTAAACCCCAAAATGAGCCTCCATACAATCAAGTAATATTTAATCTTTACGTCATTTAAGGCATTGTGCTAAATCCTGTGGAACAAGCATTTAGAGACAAGGTTCATGTTTATCTTCATGAAATTTAAGGCCAATATGATAAATAAGACAGCCACCATAATAACTACAAGATAAACTCTGTCATTGCACAGATAATATGAAAAGAGGTTCAAACCACACACACACACACACACACACACACACACACACACACACACAAATTCAGAGGCTGAAGAACTAATTTCTGATTGGGATTATTAGAGGAAATTTCAAGGAAAATATAATATTTGAACTTGATCTTGAAGAAGAGCTAGGATTTTTAACAGATAGAGATTAAAGATGAAGGAAAGGAGAGATTAAGGTGAAGACCGGAATTGCAGATAAAAGTAAAAACAGCAGTAGCCATAGAACAGAAAATGGCATTAACTTGGAACAGTGAGCTGTTCAGTAAAGCTATGAAATAGAGTACCTTTATGGAAGTGTAAAGAATTAGGGGAGGGTAACATCACAGGCTAAGAGAAGAGAGTGTTCAGGAGTCAATGTATCAAATGACACAAACTATATTGTGGAGGATGAAGACAGAGAAAAGGATGTTTGAATTTGTCACTAAGAGGTAATTTTAGTGGAGCAATGGGGGCAGAAGACAAATTGCACAGTGTTAAAAAGTGAGTGGTGAGAACAAGTGATCCCAAAACAAGCCAGTATCCTTGAAAAAGAGAAACTAGATTAAATTCAGAGACTTAAGAAACATAACACCCTGATGTAAGTGTGATCCTAGATTGGATACAATCTATTATAGCAAATTAGCTATAAATGATATTTTTGGGACAGTTAGAAAAAAATTGAATAAAGATTGAGTATTCCTTAAGATATAATCTTACTGTATAATGTGGAGACTGGTAACTGAAAAAAGAAAGCAGTTTATAAAACAATATGCATTTGTACCCACGTTCATAGCAGCATTATTCACAACAGCTAAAAGGTGGAAGCAACTCAAATGTCCATCCACAGACGAAGAGATAAAAAAATGAGATCTATACGTATAATGGGATATGATTCAGCCTTAATGAGGACAGAAATTCTGACACATGCTGCAACATGGATGACCCTTGAGGACATTATGCTGAATGAAATAAGCCAGTCACAAAAAGATGAATTTTGTATGATTCTACTTTTACCGTAGTCAATGGCATAGAAACAGAAAGTAGAATGGTGATTGCCAGGGGCTGGGGGAAAGGGAAGTGGGGAGTTGTTGCCTAATAGGTTTATAGTTTCAGTTTTGCAAGGTGAAAAAGTTCTGGAGATTGTACAATAATGTGAAAAATTTTAACACCACTGAACTGTACACTTAAAAATGGTTGATGGTAAATTTTATGTATATTTTACCACAATTAACATTTTTAAAAAAAATGCACAGGGCCAGCCAAGTGGTGCATTGGCTTGGGACGCCAGGGGGCCCGGTTCGGATCCCACATATGAGGGCCAGTGACACTGCCCTCNAAAAAAAAAGTTTATCTAGACCTACAAAACTTATGAGAGCCATCCACCCCTCAATAGTCCTGAATTTCTGCCCCCACCAAAAAGTTCCTATGGTTTCTCATTAGATTAGTTAAATACAAACTGAAGCCTTGTGCCTTATCCACTTCCATTTTCATGGAACTAAAGTCACAAAAAGTGTTAATTAAACTCAATTTACTTCCCCTTCTGTCTCCCTTCCTTAGCTGTCCTGGATACATAATATAATAGAAAATTCATAACTAACAAATAAATAGAAGCAAAGTTTGTTAAATTTTCTTTAAACTACTCATATTTAAATGATTTTTCCTGATAAATATGGTTGATTTCTTCAAGAGCCAAGCATGAGTGCATTGGATATTTGTTATTATGATGGGATTAACTACTTTTTTCATCTATGTACTTTTTTTTTTTTAAGATTTTTATTGGGGAATTGGGGGATGGGAACAGCGCTGGGGAATTAGGGGAAGGGGAACAGACAAGCTGCTGTCCTTTTGTTCTTCAGTCTAGTTGTGGAGGATGCCGCTTCACTGGCCCAAGTTGGCACCATCATCGCGCTCTTCCCGGGAGAGGCAGATCAGTCGCTGGCTTCTGGACGGCCGCTCACACTGGCTGCTGGCTACACACAGTAGCCCATGGCAACATACTGCAGCAGGGGCTGCAGCCTACGCTGTCGCCGGCGACTCACGGCAGCCCAGCTCCAGATCGAGCTGTTGTTCAGCATCTTAGCTGTAGAGGGCAGTGTCATTGGCCCGCATATGAGGGATCCGAACCGGGCCCCTCTGGCGTCCCAAGCCAGCTCTTAACCAACGCGCCACTCAGCCGGCCCTCATCTATATACTTCTCAATGGAATTTCTTTAATTTGGGGGCAACTTTTGTGTTCTTCAATTTGTGTTCCTACTTGGTTTTACTATAACTATGTGCATAATTAGGGAGCTATACTGTAGGGAACAAAAAGTACATCTAATCCACATCCTTAAGAGCCATGGGGTTGGGATTTGATTTGACAGAAAGGATGTGAGTTAACACTGGGAAGGGAACATTCTGTAGGTTCTTTGATACACGTTCAAGATGGGAGACTGGTTTTAATCTAATAGGCAACTGGAAACCATGTTAATTTTTTTTACATAATAATGGCTAACATTTACTGAGTACTTACATTCTAGCACTGTTTTAAATGTTTTGCATGTATTTTTTTTTAAGATTTTCTTGGGGAATTGTGGGAGGGGAGCAGACAAGTTGCTGTCCTTTTGTTCTTCAGTCTAGTTGTGGAGCTTTGCATGTATTAATTCATTTACTCTTAACAATCCTATGGAGTAGGTACAGTGAATGTGTTCTGAGTCAGTCATTGCCCAGCCAGGAAATAGAAAACATTATAGGTACTTCAAATAGGGTATCTAATAAAAGAATTTGGTTACAAAAGTATTGGAAAGACTAGAGAAATAAATGGGGAGAAGATGACATAACTGCAGGAAGCTGCTTCCCTAAAATTGGAAGAGAAAAGTGGAAAAGGCTGTTACCTAGAATGGGTAAGTGTGTACTTGGCTTGGAGACTAGGGCCTCTTGCTGCTGCTTAGTGGGAACTTAGGAACTCACAGGCCTGTGGCTGCTGCTGGAACCAGTAATTCTGCTAGAGCCCAGAGTTGCCAGCAGCTGCCATGGCCACACCCACCATCTCTAATATAGGAGCTCACCAGAGTTGTCTGGAGCTGCAGTTATGAAAAGCAAATGATTCCCCTTTC